AGTGTGTCGGTAATGTCTACAGCCAGAGTTTTGGAATCCAGTATATGCACGGTAACTCAAACAAACTTCCGCTGACTGGGATGTTAATTTTATCGAAAACTGAAACGTGATTTTGAAGAATTTTATACTTTGAAAGGGAAGAAATAGGGAATGTGTAATTGGGATATGTCCAAAAAACAAACAAAACAGAAACCATATAATATGAACCTCATATAATCATATGATAAATGCTTAAATATATCATGATATAAACATATCACAAATGAAGAAATTGTTTTGTATAATGGACGTTGCACATGATATACTGAAATGAAGACAGATGATAAGAACAAGGTGTGTAATGTCCAGTCATCATATAACTGTCTAGGTGTTCCGTAGGTAGAGGTACTGTAAAGCAGTAATTGCATTAACCTTGAATGAATAAACCATTTAGAAATATCAAATGGAAGCTATATAGTATAGTTGAAGGTGTTTTACGAAAATCAGTCACTGTGACCGAAGTAAAATTATCTGTAAATAGTCTTGATTTAATGGATGTCTTCATAACAAACCGACCTGAACAATACCACTCCAAGACAAGTCACGCCATTGTTTTTGATCCAAATATTTATTTACTGGTGGTAGGTGAGAGAATATGTTTCGATAGTTCACTTCCATAAAGGGTAATTAAATCGGGCAGCACAACAAACATTATATTGACTTGAAACTTCAAAGAGTTGCGGACTTCTAAATGACAGAGACAGTTGGGACATTTAAATTTCAATTCAGCTTTATAAGGTCTTTTCCGGTAGTTTTAATCTATACCCGATTATAGAACTGTAGACCGTTCTGCTATGGTAAACAGGGCAAGTAGATGACCATAATAATACATTCCGAGTTGGTTTACTGAATGTTTTACACATTGTTTCATTTTATTCCATGGGGATATACCTGTCTAAAAGGTGTGAGCAATGTTAAATGATCTTACTCTAGATATCTCAACACTAGGATTAAGGAATTATTAACACCAAGGTAAATTATGATCCCTTCAAAATTTTTGAGATTGTGTCGGTATACTACATATGTAGTTTTTGTGTTGCTTGTGATAGCAATTGTTGTTACTTTTCTCGACGAGAGAAAAGTTAGCAAAATTCGTCAGACTCTTAACATAAGTGGCTCTGGAAGTGCAAACTTGTTAATGTTAGGTCGAGTGAGAGGCATGTTGGACGATTCCAAGAAAACACGTGTGTTACAGTGGCGTGGAGAGTGGATAGAGAACCAAGACATTTGTGACCCGACACGGCCTCCGGTGAACGTGGTATCTTACAGACTGCATTCTGGAAAAACCCCATTCGTTATCTATGGTGTTGGAAAAGAAGAAAACGATAGTCTTTCTCAAAAAATGTCCGACCTGAGTCACAGATTTTCAATGAAAGTCGATGATTATATTTCAATGTATTTGGATAATTTCCCTTCTACTCTCTTTATCGACATTGGTGCTAGTATTGGAGTGACGTCATTACGTATGGCGCGAAATGGTCATCATGTGATTGCTGTAGAGTCAGACTACGATAATGTCCGAGGATTGTGTATGTCCATCGCCGAAAATGGGGCGACAAATTTTGTTAGGATAGTACACCATTCAGTTGGAGAGGAAATTCAGTCTTATGACGAGGACAAATATAACGGAAATATAATCACTGTAGACAGAATACTCACACTTTCTAATAGAAACTTGCTAGTTAAAATAGACACAGACGGAAGTGAACACAATGTGCTTCTTGGAAGCAAATACCTCTTGATGAATAAAAGGACACGTGTAATAGTGTTAGCATGGGAGACACATAAGGGCCAGAGAAGCGGTGAGATGCTTTTATCATTATTTAGCACGTGGGGCTTCATTCCGCATGCATTTCGAGGTTCTGGAGCAGTGAGACTGGATATGAAGGGACACGCCCCCTCATTCTGGCCCAGTGATGTTATTTGGCTACCAATGGAATAAAATATATGTTAAAAATACATTTTTATTTTCAAAATAAATGAAAAGTTGTAAATGTAAAATGTGAAGATGACGAATACCAATCAATCTTATAAATCCAGTGAACAAACCGAATCATGAACAGGGCAGAAACACGGACCCTGGAAACACCCGAGGTGGATCAGGTGCCTACGAGGAGTAAGCATCCCCTGTCGACCCGAAGTGAGCCCTACTTATATTGATCAGGTTTATGGATCGACATATGAATTGACTGTTTGTCATAGTTACGAGTCTTATCCTAAATTTGAATAAAATTCAAGTACAAAACATTCGTTTAGTATTTAATATAACATGTGTGTTTAAATCAAATAACTATTTTTTTCCAACACCACTAAAACATCTGGATAAAAATTCACATCCAATAACAAATCATGAGAGATTGTCTTTATCAGTTTTTTTTTCTATTTATCTCGTTGATTATAGAGATCAAACTTGGCAACAAACATCAAAGATCGTTTGACCTGATGACTCGATGTAATCTGCCAACTTGGAGAGAGAGAAAGAGAGAGAGGAGAATCTACATCATTTGTGACATATGATTTGTTACAAAAAATTGTTTGTTTTCTATCCAAACAAACGATCTACAATTAACATCAAATCACAAACCATGGGAAGGAGATCTAAAACATGCTTAAATTACCTAATTTTCATGTTCTTTTTTCAAGTTTGCCTTCTCGTCGAATGTTTTCAAAAATAGTTCTAACTCCAAAGTCAATGTCATGAGGTAAAAACATTAGAATATGGTAAATTTAAAACATTACAAGAATTTTCAACATTCTGATAAAAGATCAAATCAGCTATGTGAATACAAAATTAAAAAGTTGTAACGAAACAGTATATCGTTTGATATGATGTTGTGTTTTTACGAAGACAAAGTTTTTCAGGTAAAAAAAAAGAAAAGAAAATATGTTGTCCAAAAAGTTTAAATATCAATGTCATCAATCAATGTTGAGTCGAAACTTTTGTGTGAACAAAGAATATTGGCGTAATATTTATAGAAATAAGATTAAACACATGTCTGACATGTCTTAGTAAACTCAATTATAAATTGCTGAATAACTTTCTATGTTGTAATTTTTTTTTCTTTTGCCAAAAAATTTAAGTTTTGGGCAAGATTAAAGTTTTTTAAAAGTAGGTAAAAAATTAAGGTCAAGATTTTGAGGTCAAAAATGAAAATAAGGTCTTTTCACAAGAAATACACTTGACATGTAAATATGGACTAATAAACTCGCTTGTTTTGAATTTTCTGCAATCCGACAAAAACTTCAAAACTAGCGAGTTAATTGGTCTATAGAGACAATTGCAAAGGGTTAGGGGGTGGATAAAGTATACAGGTTGGTTAAAAAATATGTCAAGGGAGTGAAAGGTAGTTGATTGACTAATGCTGGAAAGTGGAGAAATTCTCCCTAACCGTGCGCAGAGAATCTTGCTCCGTAAATTGCACAATATTGGCATTACGGGATCTGTAGCGTTAACGTTATTGTCAAAGACTGAAATACGAAACCATAACGCTACAGTTCTGCAGCTAGTTGTTGCCTTTAATTCAACATTTAGATAATCAGCGATATTTTTTCAATAAACAATAGGGGCCGCCAGAGAAACCCTAAAACTTCAAATCCGTTCCTACAATATTTAAATTCATACCGCCGAAATATGGCTGAAATATTGTCGACTTGGCATTAAACAATAATAATCAATCAATCAATAAACAATATTCATTTTCATTCCTATGTTGATTCGATATAGCCCTCTGAACTCTAGCTGCAGAGCTGTAGCGTTATGGTTTTATATTTTAGTCTTTGACCATAACGCTACAGATCCCGTTATGCAAATATAGTGCAATTTACGGCGCAAGATTTTCTGCGCACTTTGGCGATGTATATCGCCACTTTCCAGCATTGATCAATCATCGTACTTTCAATCCCTAATTCTAAATATATTCTAGTCTATAACCAATCTGTATATTTAATCCACCTACTAACCCTTTATAGTCGTCTCTACAGACCAATAGACTCGCTTTTTGTGAATTTGTTGTAGGATGGCATACAATTCACAACAAGCGAGTTTACTGCTCTGTAGAGACGACTAGAAAGGGTTAGAAGATGGATAAAATAACAGACTGGTTATAGAATACGTCTAGAATTAGGAAATAAAGGGTAATTGATTGACCAATGCTGGAAACTGGCGAAATACATCGCCAAAGTGCGCAGAAAATCTTGCGCCGTAAATTGCACCATGTTTGCATTACGGGATCTGTAGCATTATGGTCAAAGACTAATAATATATAAAACCATAACGCTACAGTTCTGCAGCTATCTGAACTCTAAATAAAAGGTACCACAGAGTCTGACATATCTGTTTCATATTTGGACATTTTAATAGAAAAAGACGTTAATGGTTACCTAACAAAACTTTTTGATCAACGTGACGACTTCAATTTTCCTGTCGTCAACTCTTATTTATGTAGCAATATATCCTTATCACCTGCATATAAAGTTTATGTCTCTTAGTTGATTCGTTACACAAGAGCATGCTCTACGTACGAACAATTTCTAAAACGAGGCAAGCCATTGACAAACAAGTTGTCAACAGTCTCCTTTAAAGTCAACATTTGGTAAATTTCTATAGTCAATATGATGACCTAGTCAGGAAATACAATCTATCATTAAGTCAAAGGTTGACAGACGTTTTTCATTATTTACGCACTACATTTTTTACGGATTTCTCCTTTGCCCGATTTTGACAATGAGCAAAAGGCGGTTGTGACAGATTGATAAGGGATGCTTACTCCCCAATGGCACCCGATCCCACCTGTTATCTTTTTAGAGGCCCGTGTTTGTTCTGCTCCAAATGTTTACTGTTTCAATAGACTTTTGAGCTTGATTACCGTTTGTTAACTCCATATTTCATTCATAAAGCCCTTATAATTTTAAGGGTTGACGTTGACAATATTCAGAATTTTTCTGACAGGTTCTGAACAAACAGCATTGTACATATATCTTCTAGTTCACAAACAATTAAACACAACAATCCTCCCGATCAATGCCGTGAACAAAAATTTTTCAATATATCTTTTTGGAAATATGATTGACAATACTAACAAACTAATTGCTTAAAAAACAACAATTAATATGTGTTCTAAAGTAAATCTTAAGTTGATGTGATTAGGTTGAATTCCCATGGAATGAGTTGTCCTTTTCTGTCTTGTGATGGTAAATATTCTCTCCCACTTTTCTAGATGTAGCCTATTTCTGTAAATTATAAGTGTCGGTATTTATATCAAACTACAAGTTGCAAAAAGAAACATGACATTTTTAAAGCTGATAATGAAATCTGAAAAGTATACTTCAGTTTTAGAACCAAATGCAAAGATCTACAAATTCAAAAACATAAATTTAAAAATTTGAAAAAAAAATCAAACTTTTTTCAAAATTATGTAAGGAAACAATAGTTTTCCTACTTTTATACAGTAATTGCATATCAACATTATATCACCTTCGTTCGTCGGTGTGATCTGTTGTGTATCTTCTTGAAGGTGACTAAAGTTAAAGTCTTTGTTTCGCTGATAAAATATGGACCACCATCTGGGAACTCCAGACTTTTTACAGGTCTTGTACGTAATGGTCGATACAACAACGACAACAAAAATGCCAATAAGAGCCAGAATAACGGCCACTGTCGTCCCTACTTCCGGGGAGGATTTCCAAGACTGAACAGGAATATCGGACTTTACACAGCTGCCTAAACATAAAACAATTTTCATTATGGTAAGACATTTTTCCCATTCTCTTATCAGTCCAGCAACTGTTGACTGGAATGGTTTTTGTTCATATTTTTGAAATTCTTTATTGCATGCCAGTATATTATTTGAACTTACTAACCAACTTATACTGGTATAAACTTACTAACCAAGTTATACTGGTATAACATGGGTTGGAACAGTTTACACTTTTTTTATAAACCGCTTCGCGGTTTATAAAGCATAAACTGTCTCAACCCAGGTTATACCAGTATAACTGGGGTAGCTATTAAATTCATTCCTTATATAACTAGGTAGTGACCCCTGGGATCTCTTTATTTTTAACACAATGACCAATATTTTCTTTATTAACAAAATATAACAAGTAACAAAACTCTTTGGATAATGATATTTAATATAAAAGTAATAATTTTGATATATATAAATATTAACATTTGCTGTGTTTTTCTACTTAACCAAGCCTGAAATTGATTTGAATGCCATTGACATGTATTCTCACGCGTAGAAACTCGCACTAAAATGACGTTACAATGAGGCTACACAGACGCAAGTAAAAATATAACGATAAACGGCAGCGAGAAATTCAATAATTAGGTATATTGATGGTGCTTATAAACATGTAAAATGTAAATAAAAGAAAATGTTTTTAAGTTTAGTGTGAATTATTGATTTATTGAAAATTTAGTGTGAATTGTTGGTAAATCACAAGACTTAAACGTAGGCACATTTTTCACGAAGCAATAGCGCTCTGCATATATAAGCCTACGTTACAATTCTGTGTTATTTAAACACCGATAGCTCACACAAAACTAAAATCATTCGTTAAATAACCAGTTAGACTTAGAAAAACAACATCTTAATTATTTCAATCCGATTTTCCTCCGTCAATTCTCTAATATTTACCCATTTTAATTCAATATTACAAAAAACTAAATGATTAGAACTCTAAACTATTTATAGCCCCAGTTTACCGTTGTTACCCTTATTATGCTAACATAAAAATTATATGAGGTCAATGATACAAATAATGACGTAAATATAAATAGTCCAATATAAAAAGTACTGAAACCTACTTTGTATGATTATTTATACAGACATTATTATAAACAATAAGATGTTTTTCCTTCTTTGTTACTAAAGGAATTAACGGTTGTATCTACTGCAGAAAAAATATAAACCCGCTTACACGGGTTATCATTTACCGTACTAACAAAGACAGAAAGAGTTTATTGTTCAAATAAATTACTCATATAAAGTGCGTGAAAGTACGTCATATATTGTATTATTGGTCCGTATTAACATTCATTAACTGGTTCTAACTATTATAATATAAGTTTATTATAAATGATTGATTAAGGCAATCGGTTTTCATAAGAAATAAAAGAGGAAATATTCAGCGGGTGTAGACATAAACGGTCATTAATGTAAGTGTACAGGGACAGAAAGAAATCCGGCGAAGAAAAGGTTTACTGCTGCATTGTTCATCATGTTCGGTTAAGGACACAGAAATAAACAACCAATCTTAATATTACATATTACAATTGTACTTACAGTTAGGGCAGGTGGAGTCACAGGGCAGACACAAATAATGGTTCTTGATGTATCCAGGAGGACACTCTTGAACACAGGCACTGTCAATAATAATTTTCATGTTATTAATGAAGAGTTTATTATATATACATGTACTCTGTGAATGTTAGTCCTTGGGAGTCAGACAGATAGACACTAGGAGTCGCATCCCCCTCAGACTCGGCATGTGTCCATAATTACATATGTTTTTAACGTTGGACCGTGTGGTATAAAGTTATTCAATAAAGAAAGGTATGTATAAGTACAAATTTGACAGGATCAAAGAATGGCATACGCACATATACAGTACTTAACCATTCCTCATCAATACTAGTTCAATTTACAGTATCAAATAATCAGTACAACTAACCCTGTTTATTCAATAATTCTGTTGCCTCTTGCTTACATATACTAAAGCTTACTTTACGTCTAATAATTGAAGACTTAAATTTGCATACAAACCCTGTCTTTCCCATACGTAAATGTTTGCACACTCTGCAGTCTTCGGGTCGACTCCCAGCGCAGGTATCAAGACATTCATTATTACATTTCTGAAATAAATGCATGAAATATTTGTTAAAATGCACATTGATGAGGTGTATTGTGGTACTAATAAAAAAAAATGGCATTTCTACACGATACATTTGTCTGTTATTCTAATTTTACAGACTTTTACAAAAAAAGGAACCAAAATGATTGAATCCAGCCAGTGTAACATAACTTTGATTCAGGAAACACGCATATATTCATTACCAAAGTTTGATTGATTGATTGCATGTTGTTTTACGTCCCATTCGAAAATTTTTACTCATAGAGACGTCACCATATACCGATGAAGGGCTTCAAATTTAGACTTTTACTAGCCACTCAAGGCCATTGAGCAGTGAGGGTTTTTTTTTGAGCAGTGAGGTTTTTTTTTTATCGTGCCAACGCTTACAATCTACCGTGACACGGTACCTCGGTTTTTTAATGTCCGTGATTTTCACTTCTAAATGCCGGGCGCTTGGTTAAAGAAACAGTCACTGCCTTTATTTACGACTTCGGTTTGACGCGGCGCGGCAAGCGATCAGGGCCGTCCGATCACGAAGCGAAGCCCTACCACTCTGCCGTGATCGGTTGTCAAAATTTCAAGCAAATTCTATAAGGCAAAATGATTTGTTTGTTATTTATTGTTTCAAATCAAACATTTCACAAGGCTTATCATGCTTGGTAGATCTAGTTCTTTTCAATACAAACTGTATGTCTGCGAAATCTTGGTTTGTGTTTAAAAGTGTGTGCTGGTAAGTGTGTTTGTGTGTCCTGAAGTATGTTAGATGCCACTGCAATGTCGACTGTGTGTATTTTTGTGCTTGTGTTGGACAGCCTGTTTTCACGTGATTCCTACCAGGAATGTACTGGATGACTGATTCTGTGTGTTTTTGTCGTTCCTATCACTTGAATATCTGTTTGTGTGCAAGCTCATTTCTCAGGGAGTCACTGGGAAGTCTTTGTTTGGCATAATTCTTATCATTGGGGATTTTCCCGGAAACTCTGGCCATGTGAATTCCCTTTCACAGGAGATGTTACTAAAATGCCAGGCACTCTATGTGTGGTGTGTGTGTGTGTGGGGGGGGGGGGGGAGTTATTGCATTTAACAGCAGATGTCATCAAAATATCTGCTACGTGTAGTATAATTTCTACTACGGGGAATGCAACCGGAATGTTTCTCTGTGTGTGAGGGTTTGTGTTGTGTGTGTGTATTTCACAAGGGGTGCCATTATAGAAGGTCTGCTGTGTGGAATGTAATTCCTTCCACAGAGCGAGGTTGTAACTTGAACCTTTCTCTCTCGCTCTCCGTGTGTGTGTGTGTGTGTGTGTGTGATAAAAGGATATCACTATAGAAGGTCTGCTTTGTGTAGTGTAATTCCTACCACAGAGGTTGTAATCGGAATGTCTGTATGTGTGTGTTGTATCACAGGGGTTGTCACTGTACTCCCCATCCCTGGCTTTGTGACGACTCCACCTTGATTTGGTGGCTTCAGTTGAATTGGATTATCCTTTGTTCCATGAAGGATTAGAGACCATGACGAAAGCTGACCTGCAAGTACCGTACGAAATATGACTTACATGCGATATACAGATTTGCAATATTTTGCAAGAAACTGGTATCATCGTGCTTTGCTAATTGATTATGAATCTGCAACAAAGTACCCTGTCAAAGATTCCCAGCACCAGACAATCACGACTTACTTTTGACCCCAGCTGGAGGTCATGGCCAGCTATTTGATGAATGTCCCAAGCATCTGGCAACCACGACTTACTTTAAACCCCAGCTGGAAGTCTGGGTCAGCTTTTTGATGAGTGTTCCCAGAACCTGACAATCACGACATACCTTTGACCCCAGCTGGAGGTCTGGGCCAGCTGGTTGATGAATGCTCATCAGTAATCTCCAACTTCCACGTCCCTGTGGGATTCTCCTCCCAGAAATGGACCGATAAAAATGCCCACTGAACGAATCCACCGTTGTTCATATCTGAGGGTCGTTTTGGGAGAATTGTGGATCTCGTTCCACTGGGAGATGTTAAATGGATGACCAGATTACCGCGGCGGTAATAGGTCAAGGTTATCTTTGCCTGAACATGTTCCAGATAGTTAACCTCATTGGCAGTGCCTCGACATCCATCTGTTCTGACTTGACTGGTGTATGGAGATCCCATCAAGTTCCTAAAGTGTTTCAGTAAAATTCAAATATTTGTCATAAAGAATTAAATTCGTTTTAATAAATCGGATAATGCATATTCAACCAGAAATATGTCCATAAGACATGAATGCCCACCCATGATTCTCAAGTAATGCAACACTAAAATTTGTGTATGAAGTTTGACGAAAATACCTTTAATAGTTTCTTTAAAACTGAGTTTAATACACAATAAATAGTGAAGTCATAGGTCATAGGGAAGTTCAAGGTTTTAAAAAAAAATTGGACACAGTTGATAAATTCTCACCAAATAATGTATAAGTGCATAAGCTTACATAAAAAGCTATCTGGGATAGTTTCTTTGAGCAAAAACACAAATTTGAGAAACGTTGGGTAAAGATCAGATGAAAGGTCAAGATAAAAAAATGTTCATGAAGTTGAATAGCTAATCTCAGTATGTATCAGCATATGAAGTTTGATAAAAATATCTTGATTTGTTTCTTCGAAACTAAACCAAAATTTGATGTCAAGGTAAAAGAAAAGGTCAAGGACAAAAATGTTTATGCAATTGTATAGCTTTCATCAATATGTATAAGAATTTAATGTTGGATAAAATATCTTGATTTGTTTTTTTGAAACTATGCTTAACAGAAATTTGAAGTCAACGGGTCACCACAGTAGCCTACTGGTAGGGCGCTAGCTTCGTGATCGAAAGGCCCGAGTTCGAGTCTCCTTCTCCGTGTTGCGTCAAACCTAAGACGTAAACATAGGTTGTGACTGTTCCTTCGCCAAGTGCCCGGCACTAGAAGTGGAAGTCACGGGTCTTTCGAATGAGACTTTAAAAACCGAGGTCCCATGTCGCGGTAGGCGTTGGCACTTTAAAGAACCCTCACTGCTCAATGGCCCTGAGTGCCAAGTATAGGTCTAAATTTGAAGCCCTTCACCGGCATACGGAGACGTCTCTTTAGGATTGAAAAATTCTCGAATGGGACGTTAAACAAAATACAATTAAAGAATCAATCAAATTTGAAGTCAAGATCAAAGAAAAAGTCAAGGTCAAACATAATGACGCCATTGAATAGCTCTCATCAATACGTATAAGCATATAGAGTTTCAAAAAACTATCTTCAATACTTTCTTTGAAATTTAGCCAAACAACAATTTGAAGTAAAGGTCAAAGGAAAGGTCAAGATCAAAATTGTTTACGTAGTTGAATAGCTTTCACCAATATGTTTCAGCATATTAAGTTTAATTAAATTATCTTGAATAGTTTCTTTGAAACGAAGTTTAATACCATTTTAAGATAAGTGAGGTCAAGTTCAAAGGAAAGGACAAGGTCAAATAATGTTGATGCAGTTGAGCAGCTCTCATCAATATATACTTATACGCATATAAGATTTGTTTAAAAAAAAATCTAAAGTTTCTTTGAATATATTAAATAATCATTTATTTAAGGAAGTGAGGTCAAGGTCAAAGAAAAGGTTATGGTAAAAAAAATCTTGATTCAGTTGAAAAGCTCTTATGAATATGTATCAGTACACATGAAGTTTGATAATATCATAAATACATGTAGTTTCTTTGAAACTTAGCTAAACACAAATTTAAGAAAAGTTAAGTCAAGGTCAAAGGAAAGGTCAAGATAAAAAATAGTGATTAAGTTGAATAGTTCTTAACAGTATGTATCAGGATATAAGGTTTAATAAAAATGTCTTAAAAAGTTTCTTCGAAATTGAGCTAAACATAAATTTAAGATAAGTAAGATCAAGGTCAAAGGAAAGGTCAGCAAATGATGATGCACTTGAATAGCTCTCATCAATATCCATCAGCATATGAAGTTTGATAAAAATGTCTTGAATAGTTTCTTTGAATATGACCTAAACGCAAAGTGTGACAGAAAGAAAGAAGGACGGAAGACGGACATGACAAAGACTATATGCATATTTTGTCGTTTTACGTCCTGTTCTAATAATTTTTTACTCATATAGAACAGGCCCGTAGAACGCCGGGAGGGGGCATTTTTTTAAAAAATAGTATTTTGCTATAGTAAATGTTCCTTTAGATTCAGGTTGCCCCCCCCCCCCCACTTTTTGATGATGTAAGGTCGAGCACTGCCAAATTGCAGGATTTGGACAGTAAATTAGTTTTATTTTGTTTTGTTTTTTGGTTGTTTTTTTTGTTTTGTTTTGTTGTTTTTTTTGCTTGTCAGATAATTTTGGGAAGTTGCCCCCCCCCCCCCCACTTTTGGTCAGTTCAGTTTAAGTGGGGTTTTTTGGAAGTTGCCCCCCCCCCATTTTTGAAACCGTTGCTACGGGCCTGTAGAGAGATCACAACATACCAGTGAAGGGCTTCAAATTTAGACTTATACTCGGCACTCAGGGCCATTGAGCAGTGAGGGAACTTTAAATATGCCAACGCCTGCCGTGACACGGGACCTCAGTTTTTAAGGTCTCATCCGAAAGACCCCCAACTTTCAAAGTGTCGAGCGCTTGGCGAAGGACTAGTTGCTAACAAATTTTTATCGACTTAGGTCAGTCGCAGCCGGGGTTTGAACCCACGTACGACCTTCCGATCACGGAGCAAAGGCTCTACTGACTGAACTACAGTGACGGTCCCGTAAATCTTTAAAAAAGACATTGAAATGTGTCTTGGACTTTAACAGACAGATGAACAAACTGACATGATTACTCTGGGACACCCACTGATACCGAGCATAAATAAATAGTTTATCCGAGTAAACTCAACTACTTACACGTGAATGGCATTACTGAGAACTGTACAGATATGTTTAGGAGGAACATTTGTCCATCTCAGTCCATAATCCACCATTGCTGTTGCATTCATAAGACCATAGCCATACCTCAAACTCACTGAAACATTAGTAATTAAGGACATATTTATATCAGTTTTCATGACTGAAGACGTATCAAATTTGTTTCGGAATATGACTCTGGAACGAATACACTTTGAACAATGACTATTAAAAAGTCTCTATTCTACTTGTGATTGATACTTCAATTGATATACAGAAGATAAAATCGTCGTCATAAAAGTTTATTTCTTTGTTTATTGTGGAGGAAGAAAGATTAACCCGAAGATGCATCTAAAGAAACACTGATCCTCATCAAAAGTACCTTTTCTGTTCTTGGCATTTGTGATCCAGTTACCATCCTCCATAGGGTCAGGGTTGGAGGTCAGCAAGGTAATATACTGTACATCCCGCCAGGTCAAGGTCGGACTGACAAACAATAAAATGTATCAAAGAATGTGCAATAAAACGGCATTATACCTGCCGTATTTCAAGTGTTGTTTTGTTTTCTTTTACTTTGTTTGGTTTTTGTTTTAGTTTACCATTTTTTAGGAAGGTAAAATGTGCCTGAACGGATATCTGCAACCGATAGAAATTAAAGAAAATTGATTTTCATGAACATATCCAAAAGGGGTAGTATTGACTTAATTTTATCATTTTCCTTTGGTAGAGCAATGTGTGACTGCGATTAACGAATATTATCTTACGACAAATGTCAACGGTATACCATTTTCTTAAACACATATAACTCTGTTTTTAAATTTTTACAATTTGGAAAGGACATATCTTGATGAGGATGCTAGTTTTTAATGAGATTAAGTCTTCATCGAGTTTAAAACCCTCTTCCTTCTGTGCCTCTCCTTTATCATCTTAATCATCTATGGAGGGTGTTTCTGAAATGTAACTAGTACCTACGAACCGAAAATAAGTTGAAACAATTCATTTCGGCCCTGGGACATGGGGAACTCAAACAAGCTTCTTTTGACGAAATCAAAAATCAAGAACAACATTCTCTGCCCAATTTTGGTTGAAGGCTATCTTCATTTTAATCATGAAAATAGTTTACCTGATTCTTGAACCATTTCGCCCATATTTTCAAATAAACTTAACACAAAATCAAGCCACTCTGATTTTGAGACTGTATCTATTAGAATTATGTTGACTGTACTGTACTCAAGTATTCAATCTGAGGTAGTAAGTTCACTTACTTTGCCTCCAATAGGAGGGCGACCAGACCGGCGGCTAGAGGAGCAGAGGCAGAGGTACCCGTGTGACTGCTGGTACAGTGGTTGTGTAGGTCTGTCGATATCTGTAATGACCACTGATATCATGCCGTAATATTCTATGTAAAATTGCTATCTCTCTCAAATTTTTGAATTACATTTTTTACAAATTTATTAAGTCTGTTTTATTGTAGATATTTCTTTTGCGCTAAAACTAGATTGTCCTATGTGAACAATTATTGAATTTACAATTTGTTTTTCATTGTAGGCCCCGCTACTATAGGTTGTAGCCAGTGTGGAGGAGCACTCCTCGAGGTACCAGGGTTTACGGCCATGTTCAGAGGTGCTGCTGATGGACATAGTGTAAATACTATTGGTGTAACCATCACAATTACAGCTGTCAAAAGCATTCCCTCCATTACCAGATGCCCATACAAAAATGCTTCCCTTGCCACCTCGACCCTATAAAAGATTGACATAAAATAATGTCCATCACAAGCAAGATTTTCCCTTGAGTACAAAAGAAAAGGGAACAATTACAGTAAATGCACGCACGCCTTTTTTTCAAAATTAAGGCAGGTAAGCAGAACACCTCGCGACACAAAGGTTAAACAACCGTAGCATGCTACTTGGAGTTAACTCTCAGTAAAGGACACCTCTTAAAAATACATGTAGATGAGATGCGATGTTCGTAAACACGTTAGTCGCTGAACAAGGCGGAGATGTGGCCTTTACAGGAAAAGATTACCTACTTTGTGTCCAGAATGATGTTACTCAAAATCTGCTGACACTATAGAAAACAGAAAACTCGATTTCAACAAATTTAATTCGCACAGCTTAAATCAAGATCCCCACTTTAAATTCAATGTTGATTAAAATTTGATTATAAAGTACATGAACAAATATTTACTGTAAATACCTTATACTTCTTTTATTTAATCATAAAAAGGAGAATTTCGAATACCAATATCATGAAGCCTCATGTAATATAAGTACTTTATTTCTTCAAGATATAATTACACTGTACTTTTTTCTTTAAAACTGCATTTTTAAAATCATTAGTGAATTAACAATGATTTGAGTTGCTCTGGTTTCTATAATATTCAGCACTTTTGAACTTATAACAGAACGAGGGTTCTCTTTTGTGCCACCTGCTGTGATACTTGCGATGATTCTTTTGGAGTTTACATATGGTCTGTGAAAAATGTAAAGAAAGTTATCTATCTACAAAGGCTGTTCCAGAAAAGTGTAAGAAGAATGTCTAGGAAATGTTGCTTACATCAAACCTTGGCCACCTTTTGGGACATTAGTGTTCGCACATCGCATTTCTTCAACTGATTTATTCCAAAAAACTGATCCTACTTACCTGTTCTATCCCACTAATAAAAGCTTTTTTAGCTAGGGGACCCGGGCCGTCTACCACTCGACCGTCATCATCTGGTCCCCAGGATGAGGAATAAATATCAATGTGTGATCTGTTAAAGCTGAGGGATGCAGCCTCTACAGCATCTGACACATCACCGTCCAGCATACGTATACCTGTGTAAATAAATAAGTAAGTAGTCGAAGGATTAACACTTCTTGCCGTGAGCAACTTGTGTTGAACATGACCATCCATAGTGTAGCATTAAAAAGACATAGTCCAAAGAATATCTAACCTCTGAGTCATGTAACCTTGACCTTAACAAGTAATTCTGATTGACCTCTTAGTCATAATCAACCTTTTTGCTAAGTATGACTCCAAATGCTCCTCCAAAACCTTTTTGCCTTTAAAATTCTGAGACCTCCAAAATTTGACACTCCTGAATTCTGCGACCTTAACTTTCTCTAAATGACCTTTATTGAGGATCATGGAAGTCCATACTCACATCAACACTGTTTAAGTTATAAAAAAAGAGATCTAAGAAATTAATTAAGAATCATAAACCCTCTCAAAAGAAATGTATTTTATAAGTAAAATACAAACTATTATAGCATAGCTTGTGAGGCAAAATTAGACAAAAACACACTTCAACTCGTCAAATTTATAAAGGAATAATAGACATTTACGTCATTAATTAAGAGTTATTACTCTCATCATATCGATGAACCTTAACTTCTAAGTTTTCTATTAGATATTTTAAAAGCATTGAATTCGTAATTTTGGATGCCGTCGGTACTATAACAAACCTGGCCGTGCCAACAAATTGAATACCGCGCGGTATGATAATTTGTGGGCACGGCCAGGTGTGTTATAGGACCGACAACATCCAAAAATAAGAATTCAGTGCTTATTTTTACATTCTTTAATTTTTCCTCTTCATAATTGTTTATTTCGTTAATCATTAATGTGAATTTAGCGCCCTTCAGAATTGTTGTGCTTAAAAGACGTAAGAGCCATTTGTGACGTTGAAAAGTTAAATAACGCAAATGAACATTGCGAGGGAAAAAATGACAAATTAATTTTAAACGCACATTTGTTAAATTTTTACGTTAAATTAACAGGTTAGTTGTTTTTTTTAATTATTAAATTGAGTCAAAGCAATATACATTTTGGTGTTCCTAGAGTATTAAAAATGCAAATAGTTCCTACTGTGTATTCTGTCGCGCGGTGACAAGGTTTCGCGAGTGTTATAGAGTTTTTGAAAGTCGTGGATTTCTAATGGATTTCATAAAGAAAATTACACTGAATGTAAAAATATTTTTAAATTACTGAAAATAGGAGAAAAAAATACAGACCCGTGAACAGACATAATGATGTGAAAACGATTCACTACATGTACACACCCACACTAAGGAATCTTTCGGAAGAGAAATGCTTTCTGCAATAGTAAAGGTCATTACTACGCCTCGTTTGTAAGTAACGTCATTTGATGTCACTACGATAAAATGGTTTCGTAAACTTGACCAGAATGAACTTTATAAACTAAATATTTACATTTTCAGATATCTTTTTTGAGGTAAACTACAAATAAGGAAAAAGCTTTATATCTTTATAAAGCCATTTGCTAGTATGCTGTATGTGGCATTGTAACAATCATTAGACTAGTTTAACCCTTTGGGTATCTATTGTATATTTCGCAAGTATTACCATCAAATACCTCTTTATTAGCACCCAGAATTCTTTGCAAAAAAAAAACAACAAAAACTCAGCAGACAGGTAACAGTAGCTACTAGGTCATTCCCAGCAGAGCTGCCCAGTGTGCAAGAAGTGAGTGTAATGGGTCAACACAAATGATATTAATTTTTGCTCCAGCATATGTCTGAATCTTACAGCAGGGTTACTGTAAAAGTTAAGTATATTTCTGCACTGAAAACAGACCGTGGTGAGTATATTTTATAGTATTTCTAGTTATGTAAATGTATTTTTAACATTCGTTCTATAAATTCACCTTGGCAGGCACTCATCAGTGAGTTACCTGTGTGTGTGTTCAGGTGTGACATTAGCGAGAGTGTTTGAATAGGTTTTGCTCGCTGTGTTACTTTTTCATTTAAATGTATGAGCGGAAGTAAGTGACCGGAAGTATTGTCAGCCATTTTGTATCTATGTCTACTGTAAACAAACTGATGATATTGATAATATCTTAGTTTTTATGTTATATTGAACTCAAACATGACTAAATGGTTATTGATTAAAGGCAAGTATAATTCTATAACAGTATTGCCATATATAGGGTAAATAATGATTGATTTACTGATTAAGGAGGGTTAATATTTTAGCACCATGCTGAGGTGTACATCATAAGGATGATGATGATGATGACGACGATGATGTTGATGAAGATGATGTCAATGATGATGAAGAAGAAGAAGATATCGATGATGTCTATGAATTAGACGCGGGAATCTCTAGTATTTGTGAATCGACACTGATTCCCAACAACAGTCTAGGACTACAGACCGAATGTTTGGGGGATAGTGTGGAACTATAGGGAGTGAACTCTAATATTGATATATGTGGACAATACTGGCAATATTTTGATAGGTTTGAATGAAATCGATAATTTGAGAACACGTGTTGATCACAGCTGATCAACAAAATGTTTTGAACATTTTTTTTCTTCATTGTAAATAACTTGTTAATTTTTTATGATCATTTGAGTGAGTGTGTGTGATTGTGTGACTTATTAGTTTAATTATCTTTCCTTTTTCTTTCTGTTCTTTTGTAAATAAATCCTTGTTTTTCTTTGAAAAAAGTCTAAGTTTTGATTTGAAAAGGAAGCCTAGCTCATCCACGTTACAGGCATAGTAATAAACTTGGCGGGCTTGTAGACTAAGATTTCTAATTATTGAATAAAAATGACGTAAGTGTCTAATTTTTTTTTAAATTGAATCAAGGATCAGATAAAGATGCAAATATAAGGAAAACTGCTTTGTGGGTTGCTGGGCGGGGTTTGTGATGATGATCAAACATTATAATTTCATGCATGAACGCCTTCTTTTATGGAAACTATTACTTGAACAAACTGTTCAAACCAGGAAACAAAAAAAACCTAAACAATTTAGTGTAATTAAAAGTGGTTTTTTGATTAATTATCTTAAACTTCATGAATTACCAACACTGAAAACTAATATTATGGTCATCCTAAACACGAAAATGTACAGATGACCATAGACAACATAACACAAGAAGTATAGACACTGTTTTGTATTTACCTCCAATCCTGGAGTTGTAGGCCGCCCCTACCACACACTTGTTGTTATTGGCTTTTGCTGCCACCTCCCCTGCACATCGAGTCCCATGCCTACGAAAAGTAAAGTGATTAATTATGTACAACTCTTTATTGTCCCCCACTTTCGCGAAAGCGAAGGGATTTAAATCTCATTCATATGGCTAGGTTTCAGTCTGTCTGTCTTTGTGAAAACTTTAACCTTGGTCATCACTTTTGAATGAGAAGAGATTTTTAAATTTCACGTGTACACTACCTGTGACAAGACGTTTCCAAACGTACTATAATTTTTGATCTCGTGACCTAGACCTTGGAGTTTGATGTACTTTTCAAAAATTTTAACAAACTTTAATTTTGGTCAAAACTTTTGAATAAGAAAAGATAGGGCTTTCATATTTCACATGTACATTACCTGTGACAAGACCTCTCCAAATATACTATGGTTTTTGACTTTTTGACCTTGAAGCTTGACCTACTTTTCAATATTTTTAACATTGGTTATAACTTTTGAACGCGAAAAGATAGGATTTTCATATTTGACATGTGCATCACCTGTAAAAAGAAGTTTCCAAATATGCTATGATTTTTGAAACTTTAACCTCGACTTTCAAGTTTGACCTAATTTTCAAAATAAAATTAACATTGGTGATAACTTTTGAATGAAAGATCATAGGGTGTTCATATTTGACAAATGCATTACCTGTGTTTCAAGACCTTTACGAATGTGATATGAAATTTGACCTGTGACCTTGACGTTTAACCTAATTTTTAAATTTTTTTAACATTGTTGATAACTTTTGAATGAGAGATGATAAAGTGTTCATATTTGACAAGTGCATTACCTATGTCAAAGAGTTTCCCTTGTGTGCTATGATACTCGACCCATTGACTTTGAAGTTTGAACTAATTTTCAAGCATTTATCACTGCTACTAACTTCTGAAGGAGCAAAGATAGGGCATTCATATTTGGCACGTGCATTGCCTGTGTCAAGACTTTCCAAATGTACTATGATTTTTAACCCCGTGATCTTGACCTTGAAGTTTGACTTAATTTTCAAAATTTTGAACATTACTTATGATTTTTGATTGAGAGATGATAGGGCATTTACATTTGACATGCTTTACCTGTTTCAAGAATGTACTCTGGTTTTTAACTTCGTAACCTTTATTGAAGTTAAACCTAGTCTTTTTCAAATTATTTTTACATTGTAATAACTTTTGAATGAGAGAAGATAGGGCTTTCATATTTTTACATGTATGTATAACGACAACACCTTTCAGAATGATATATGATTTTTGACTTCATGACCTAGAATTTTGACCTACTTATCAAAAATTTTTACTTTGGATATAATTTTGGACATACCTTTTGCTCCAGAAAAGAAAAGGTTTACATATTTTTTTTCACATGTGCATTACTTCAGACAAGATCTTTCATATTGTATTATGATATTTGACTGACCTTGATCTTGAAGTTTGATGCAGTTTTGAGAAGCTTTAATCTTTGTCATAACTGTTATTAATTCAATAATTTATGTGTTTTTTGAATGATGCACAGACAAGACATGACACATATACACGACAGTTACAATGTGCCATGAATAACAGCATCCTATTCACTAAGACACCGAAAGCAGAGGACCTCAATTGTTTAAATTTGCTTGTCGATTCAATTTATGAGGTGACTGGGCATAAACTACGTAATGTATGTTTAATTAGCGGTCACAGAATGGGTAAACAAGTTACACTTAATCAGGCATGTACAAGCGTAGCATTAACAAGATTCAGCCTTGGAGAGGGTCTCTTCTAACAGATGATTAATTACAATTCGGTGCCCCCACTGTGGGTCCTAATTATTCTATCAGAATTTAATTTTTGTTTTTTGAAATATGTATTGGCCGCTTCCATACGTCGGGGTTAAATTACCCTAGTTTTGAATCCAGCAGTAGGAAGGTTTGAATGAAGGTTAGCCATAAGATGGATGAGTATTTTGAAAGAATTGATATGGTGACAGTACCAAATTATTTCGGAACAAAAAAGGCTATTTTTCAACTAATGTACAAGCCATAGCTAGATGCTTACCAATATTGTTGCTAGATGGCCTGGGAGTACACACAGTAGTCGAATATTTGAAAATAGGTACATTTGTGCAACGGGTGGAAATAAGAGAAATTCAGGAAATTCTAATAGGGGATAATAGATACCCACTCAGACTATACTTGATTACCCCATTACTCACATGTGGGGAGGCGTTTAAATTTTGCAATATGTTTAGATGTTTGTTTGTTCTTCAACGTCCGTCTCGAGAATTTTTCACGTACATGGAGACGCCACCAAATTTTCCGGTGGAGGGCTGCAATTTTTAACCTAGGCTCTGCACTTAGGGCCAATGAGTAGTGCAGGATTTTTTTCGTGCCAACACACACTGCGACACGGGACCTCGGTTTATACAGTTTCATCCGAAGGACCGGTCTCCACGTCCCGCAGTGGATTCGAACCCGCGACGTAAGAATTAAATCCTTACTCCGCGACTATAGAGCAGACACTCTAACCACTGCGCCACGCGGGCAACTTTTGCAATATGTAATGCACGAGTGAAAATAGAAAATGTATTTGGAATATGGAAAGGATTTCTGTTTACGACAGCAGCTCCGACTTTTACTGGTTATTACAGCATGCTCTGTATTGTATAGCTGTTGTCCCTGTTCCCGATACAAATGATGACAATCCAGATGATGTCTATGCAGTTCCCATGTCGTCAAACAAAATTCAAAGGGACAAGGTCTGAGGTCCATTTACATGAAATATGGAGATAACGAACAGTAATCAAGCTCAAAGTCCATTAAAACAATACAAATTGGGAGCAGAGCAAATACGGACCTCCAAAAAACATCAGAAGTGGGATTAGGTGCCATGGAGGGGTAATCATCTCCTGCCGACTGGTCACACCCGCGTGTGCTCCTTGTCATGATCGGGAAATTCTGCTTCATATGAATACAAAAAACGGAGCGCAATTGGTACCCATGGAAATTCCAACAGATTGTTGGAAGACGTATCTCTAAAAACTACATAGATATTGTCAATCAGAAACTCAAGCATCTTTTTAATATCAACTTCAGTGTATTTTGTGTACAATCAGAATGTTTTTAACAAAATAATTTTGCATATGACCAGTAACAAAGTAAGTAAATTTACGAGTTCCATTTTTATTGAAAAAGCAGCTGTCAATGATGTCAAAAAGCCTGGACTTTAATTTATCGTGGGGGATGGTTGTATACAGAGTTTAAAAGTCGTAAGTTTTTGTTATTAAATTGATTTTGGTAAAATTTTGTGATTTTAAATGTTCCAAAAGTTCCTTGGAATTTGTAAGTATCCACATCTGATTTACACCACTTCTCGAATATATTGTTGCACAGTACTCCTGAAGTTTCTCCTTCACTGTTGTGAATATTTTAGTATATATTTTCAGTAATGTATGTATGTGGAATTATATAATTAATTTCATTTTCCTAGGTAAGAAATTAAAATAACTTGGACAAAATTCAAAAAAAGAAAAAGAAAAAGAAGGACAATGCTGATTGTATTATAATTTTTTTAATACAAGTGGTTGCCAAACTCCAGCAACATTATTGTTTACATCATTGCTGACAGAGGCAATTGCATAATTTCATTTTCGAGGCCCTGTTTCTTCAATAACAGAATACTTTTCTTTAATTTTTTTTTCATTTTAATTTTTTAATTACTGTTCCTTTTTCGGCCATATCAAGAACCATTCCCGAATACAGTGAAACAATGAGCACACGTTTTCAAGTACAGTACGTTGTATTATTATCATATCTCTTGGGGAAGAGGAGGGGGGTAAAACAAAAACTTGTACATATATTTTGACATAGTTTACAGCCTAAATTTTACCATTCAAGGAAAAGGATCTTTAACTTTTCAAGGGTAAAGTCAAAATTCTAAAAAAAAAAAAAATGCATTAAAAAGTTTCACCTGTTTTCATTGGTCGGATCATATCTTGGTATTGGGTCAGGATCATGGTTATTCACATCATAACTTGCATATGGGTCCTGGAAGGAAAAAAACTCAATATTGTTAAACTCGCACCAAAGTCCAGATATTATCTGAAAATAAGTTGTTTATGTCATGGTGCCCATAATCTTTGACTTGGAAAAACAATTGGAATCGTTCTCACACGATTTTCTAGCTATTCAAGAGTAATCATTTGGAAACCAATGGGTTGTTCACCAGGGAATCAACAGTTAGATACAACACACTTGTAGTGCCCTGAAATTTTGTTAATCTTCTAAGATTTAATCAATCAAATATATACTAGTTACCAGTGATAAATCCCAAGTATATAATGTTACATGAATAATCCTTTTTAAAAAAACAGTTAAATGAGCAATAGAATTAAAATTTATGTTACATTACTTGGTCATGAAATAATATGATGTACACGTATTAATTTTTTTATCTGTTCATTTGAAATAATATGATATATTATGGATTACTTTTTTTTTTATCTTTTCATTTCTAATCAAATGTTATACTTTGATAAATCATGTGTTTAATTTCCAAACGAGATATACATGATTGATACAATAATACTCGCTAGGCACATAAATATCTATAGTATCCATGCAGTGGTTCAATTACATTTCCTACAATAGATAACTATCAGTTATCCTCTAGTGTTACTGTTAACTTCCTAAAGCAGAGAGATATCAACCAACTGTTTTGTGTAACTGTTACAATAAAATTTCCCACTGTAGAGAGATATCAAATGTTCCCTGGTGTTACAGTAAAATTTCCTACAATATATATCAAGAAACTAGCTTTCTTCCCTTAGGATAGGGCAGTTATGTGTAATTTAAGAGTTGTTGTAAAATGTGCTTTATAAATAAAAATTAAATTCATTCCAACGTGTATTGGTAACGATCCTCTAATAAAACTAGTGTCCAAATAACTGAATCTCACTTCCATTCTCAATGACCATGTAGTGTAGGACAGCGCCGCGAGAATTCCATCGGCATCGAAAGGAAGTTTTTTTTTGACTTGACTAGATACATGCAGCCGAGCAGTCTAACGCGCTGTTCCTGTACTGCTAGGAGACAGATTCTGTAGGTAGAGAGTTCAACCCGGGCTGGGGCGGAAGTGGGGATCCTTATAAAAGTGAATTTCTTTCTGCTTTCTGTATTAATATTTCTTCACTTAGGGCAGTTATGTTAGTGTAAGAGTTGTTGTAAAATGTGCTTTATAAATAAAAATTATAATTTCATTACAACATGTATTAGTAACGATCCTGTAATAAAATTAATATCCAAATAACTGTATCTCATTTCCATTCTCAATGACCGTGTAATGTAGGACTCCATCGGCATCGAAAGCAAGTTTTTTGACTTGCCTAAATAGCCGAGCGGTCTAGCGCGCTGTTCCTGTACTGCTAGGAGACAGATTCCTTAGGTCGAGAGTTCAACCCCGGGCTGGGGCGGAAGTGGGTATCCTTATAAAAGTGAATTTCTTTGTGCTTTCTATATATATATATATATATATATATATATATATATATATAATGAACAAATCATGGGTTTGCTGTTCTTTAGAAGAAGATTTTTCAAGATTTTTCCTATTTATCAGAATGAAATACTTTGATCACTCATTGTGGCCTACATCCCAGGGGTCATGAAGTGAACAAATTTGAATCTACATTACCTGAGGATGCTTTCATATAAAAATGCCTCATCATGCCTTTGATGTTCTTGACAAGATTTTCCCCATGTTTTGCTATAAAATTTGATCTCCCATTGTGGCCCCGTCCTACCCTGGGGGGTCATGAAATAAACAAACTTGAATCTACACTACTAAGGATGTTTCCATACAAATATGACTAATAATTGCTTTACTGTTCTTAACATGATTTTAAAGAATTTTCTTATATATTTCTATATGAAACTTGGATCACTTGTCGTGGCCCCACCCTACCGCCTGCGGTTCCTGATTTGAACAAACTTGAATCTACACTACCTGAAGATGCTTCTATATCATTATGACTAATCACGGCCTTGCTGTTCTTGAGAAGAAGATTTTTTAAGATTTTTCCTGTATAATCCTTTGTAAAACTTCGGTTGCCCATTGTTGCTCCTCCCCTCTGGGGGTCATGATTTGATCAAACTTGCATAAGTTTCATCTTATTTTGGTCCAGTAGAAGATTTTTAAAAGATGCCATTAAATTTTCACTAATTCTTAATTATTTCCCTTAAAAGAGGACGTGGTCCTTCATTTGAGCAAACTTTAATCCCTTTCACCCAAGGATGCTTTTGTTGCAAGTTTGGCTGAAATTGCCCCAGTGGTTCTTGATATGAAGTCGAAAATGTGAAAAGTTTAGAGACAGACCTGACGTATGACGGAAAAGATGTGATAAGAAAAGCTCACTTGAGAGTTCATCTTAGGTGAGCTTAAATATAATTCAAAAATTGATCATTATACATTTTCAGTATTACATGTACATCATCACAGTTAAGATACGAACAATAAATTACTGTACAACAAACCGTTTGCTTGCCCACATTTGTTCACATCAGAAACATGTAGAACAGAACTTTGCGCCCGATTTTTAATACATCCCTGCTCAGAGAAGATGTATTTGGAAATTTCAGGGTGTCACATGATCTGTTTTTAGCCAATCAATGTTCTATTTTGTATGAAGCTGGGTAAATTTCCGTATTACCCTTCTAAGTGTTTACATAACGAAATTATCATGTAAATTATTTTTTCAACAAAGTATTTTAGCGAAAAATAATCCTGTAGCCATTGTTTACATTGTGACGTCGTCTAAAATCTCAGTATATTTTGTTGTACTTGTTAGGCTGCTTGCAAGGTCAAGTGAAAACGGTATATGGATTTATATCAGGTCAGTAGGTCATGTATAGGGAGCATTGATTTCATATCTGGTCAGTAGGTCACGTGAAGGGGTATATGAGCTATATCATGTCAAAAGGCAAAATGATATGGCTTTAATACGGTATGCTCAACCAATAACATTTCAAGATTTTTATCAGAGGCATGATAATATTAGTTATGTTGATAAGGAAATAATATATGCATTTTTTCAAGGACCCCATATATTTCCACATTACCCATCTAAATGTATACATTACGAATTTATCCCGTCAATGATTTTTCAATAAAGTTATATTTTTAAGCGAAAAAATACATTTCCGTAGCCATTGTATACATTTTTTTCGTCGTCTTACTCTAACGCTCATTTGACGTCAAGTGAAAACGGTATATGGAATATGTAACTGGTCAGTAGGTCACGTTTAGGGGTGTGGATTTTATATCTGGTCAGTAGGTCACGTGCATGGAGGGGTACATGGATAAATCATGTGAGTAGGCAAAATGTTATGGCTTTTACGGTACTTTCATCAACCAATGAAATTTCAAAATTTATCAAAGGAAGAATAACGACTATTCTCTGATGTTTGCTGTCAAACTTCTCACGGCAGAGAGATTTTAGATAACCTCTGAGGTTAATGTAAAACAGTAAAAAGGATGTTCGCAATGGGTAACACATTAGTACTAGTATATCAGAAATGAGCAATTAGTTCTTTTTATCTTTAATTTTCAAGAGGACCTTCAATGCAGAATGTACGTGCAACAAATTGATTTTTGTTATATAGTAATTGTTTATCAGTGTTCAGTATTCTGCAACAGAAAATTTCAATTACTAGTAGTTTATTAAGTTACAGTACACATTAAAAATAATGTCGTCTGTATTAGCAAAATACTTTCAATGACATCCTCAACATTATACATGTAATATTTGACCAGACTTAAATATCCAAATTGGAATTCCTATCTGAATTCCTTAATGACTATAATTCCAAATGTAATTTATTACGCATTTTTTAATGCAATATCTAGCTGGTATCACCCTCCCCAGTATCAATTTAGCTCGGTAATCTATATTTTACTCACATAGTTTTCCTTCAGATCGTCATGAGTATGTTCAATTCCATCATCAAGGATACTAACGACGACTCCCTTCCCCGTGTATCCCATCTGCCACGCCCCCTTGACCGACATATCAAATTGTCCGCTGTTACCTAGGCGTGCTCCTCCATTCTAAATCAACAGAAAGTCAATTATATTTCCTATAACCATAGTAATAGGACATTTCTATGGAAAGACTCAGGGGCCCCCTAGGTTATGTTCTTTATATATACGACTTCACCTGGGACTCTTTGTGGCTTTCCATATTTATGGCGAGTTCACATTGGAAGACTCCTTTTTCACTGAAATTGTCAGAAATTTGGCCATCATTTGTGCCTATTTCGTCAATTAAGCTATACATGAAATTTTACAGAACTTTTCAATAATGGCAAGATACCTACAAGATACCACTGAGATCTCCATAAGCGATCATTAAAGTCACTGAAATCTCTCTTCGTCCGAGTTCTGGCTCTTTGTTGCTCAAACCATCGGATCTGAAACATCACCTTATATTCATTAAACCATTCAACACAGTGTTTATATAAAACTGTGAATTATAAAGCTAAAAAATTTACATGAACATAATTACAGGTTGCATACGGTAATACCCCTAATTCGTCCTTTTTAATAGCCTTGGTTTAAATCTTGCTTTTTAATTAAATACCTCGGGTTCTTTTGATAATAGCTGGTAGTGCGCTTGACTTGGACTTGCAGATCTCTTACTAATGTGTGGATGGTAGAATAAATAATGATCTTTTAAATCTCCAATCTGAAATAAGATATAAAAAGCTTGAATTTTAAAAAAAAAAAACATCTTTTAAATGTGTGTATAAAATCAAAATATCAACAAATTTAACAACCTTTTCCTATTATACATTTAATGTAACAAATTGTCATGAACACTGAAAGTATGTAAGGATACGTGTATCAATCATTTCTGTTAGTACGAAGTAAATGCAAGGAATGTCAACAACTTCAACAATATTATTTACGTTGTAAACAGTAAACTAGATTAGGACAGTGAGAAAAAAAAAAGATTTTCGTTGATCGTTCTTTATTCTCACTGTCCTTACATTGATTACTTGAAGACAATTTTTAGAGTCAATATTATTAATAAAAGCTAAATGTTTTGTCCCCATTGACATAAGATACGCTCCAGAGCATACAATTTTAAGCAAGTGTGTACTTCTATTTTTACAAAAAGGATTGAATACTAGTATATGCCTTTGTGAAACCTTAATATTTCTGTTGTTTTACAGATCATTATTTTTGTTGCTTGCATACAGTTCTCAGAACGGGAGAGGGGGCAGAGACCATGATATTCAGACCCGTAGCAACGTTTTCAAAAGAGGGGGGCAACTTCCCAAAATTATCTGACAAGCCAAAAAAAAGGTAATAATTTACCGTCCAAATCCGGGATTGCCAGTGCTCGACCTTACAGCATCAAAAAGGGAGGGGGGGGGGACCAGCCTCTTAAAGAAAATTTACTATAGCAAAATACAATACTCAGAAAAAAGTCTACCCCCCCCCTCCCGCGTTCTACGGGCCTGACATTAACATATTTTTGTTTCTCTTTAGTCTTTACTCATATCTGTTACATAACAACATTGTATAGTGCGTTTCTTAGAAGTTGAAATTGTATAAAAGTTTACAGTCGGGGCAAAACAGATCACTATAGTAATACTAGAGTGTTCCAAGGAACGCATGTGTCGCCTGCTTTGTAGCCTCATTAAAGATGTAAATAAACTTAAGTTTAGTTAGTTATTTATTTACTACTAATATGAAAGTTCATACAGAAAAAAGCATCCACGCATAGTATGACTGTGATAGAATCTGACAATCAAAGAAAGTATGATTCCCAACCCTCAAATGAATAATTAAATTGAAATTACATGTATTATAAATAATTATTTATCATTTTACATGTATAATACGTATTTCAAAGTTTTTACTCCAATTGTAAGTCTACACGATCTATTGTGGGATACCGATCCCGATGTATTTTCAAAGTATTTGATTGATTGTATGTTGTTTAACGTCCCATTCGAGATTTTTTTCACTCATAGAGAGACGTCACCATATACTGGTGAAGGGCTTCAAATTTTGACCTTTACTCGGCACTCAGGGCCATTGAGCAGTGACACGGGGCCTCGGTTTTTTAGTTCTCATCCGCAACTTTCACTTCAAAGTGCCGAGCGCATGACGAAGGAACAGTTGCTACCCATTTTTTATCGACTTAGGTCAGTCGCGGCCGAGATTCGAACTCAAGACCTTCCGATCACGGAGCGAGCGCTCTTCCGACTGAGCTACCGTGAATGGTTCGTAGTATTTATATATCAGTTTGTGTGGTAACTGAATATCATACAGTTTCAAAGTACAGTGTCATGAGCTCATAAACATGTATAAATGCTGATTATCAACACCCCGTCTCTCACAATTCAAAAGACATAATCTAAATCAAACTGTCCGGGGGGTGATTTGCAAAGTAGGTCAAGGTCAAGTCAATTGTAATGCTGGTATTTTTTTTTTTAATAATGTTTTATGACAATCAGTGCATATGCTAAATAGCATATGAGACTTACCTCTTAAATGTAAAAAATATGCTGTATATTGGCACTATTAACTTTTTTGTAAAAGTACGTTAAAGGTCAAGGGCATGAGGTCGGTAGCCATGGCAATTCACAAAAGCCATAGTGCCATGCAATATATATGCAAAATATCAAGTCCATATCTCTTACAGTTCTCGAGCTACAAGATGTGACAAACGGACAGACAAACAGACAGACGCTTGGTAAATTGATCCCTAAGTGCCTGCTCTGCTCTGCTGGCGACACAATGATTAGTGGGATAGGATTTATTGATATTTTCACTAGCGCAAATCGCGAGTAGAAATATTTTACGAAAATAAGAATGTCACGAGTGAAATAAATGCCATATTCTGTCAATAAACAACGAATTTTCTGTTTATTACACTTTGATTTACCTTTTACTTCTGTCCTGTTGCAGGTTGTGACGTCATAGCTGAGCCAGTTGTGAGATTAAAATTTTAAACATGGATACTAACAATTTGGAGAAACTTTGGCAGATTTAGTTTGTGTCAGGATGGCGTATTTACTCTCGCTTTTTTGTTATAGCAGGGAGATTTTTTTTACAGTTTTAATATTTTTCAATGTAAAAAATCACTGTGGAGTACAATATTCACCAAGCCCGAAGGGTGAGGTGAATATTGTATTTCAAAGGTGGTTAAATCATCGCACTGACTGAAAAAACAGCAATAATTGTTTTATTATGTTTCAATGATTAAATGATACAAACTCATTAAGCAGCTCAGTTCATGCCATCTTGTTCACATTTGCTGAGGTCCTAGCCAAACGCAATGAGAGAAACAAGGTTGAAAAAACATTACCAGTCGTATTAATTTGAATTTTTTTTAAAATCTAATTTAGTTTTTATTTTAGTTGCTATGAAAAAAATAATGTCAGGCTCTTTTATAGGCTCAATATTGAAAGGGGGGGGGGGCATTATCAGGGAAGAAATGACAGCTGACAAAAAAAAATCTTTGACTAACCCACATGAAAATGGGAGAATTCTCTACAACATTTTTTGTGGGATTGAGTTGGGGCTAGAGGGGGGAATTAAGGTCCATTAGTGAGGGACGAGCCTTTTAATGAATATTTTAGTCTAAATTAAAAGTAAAATTTTACATTCAGAAAAAAAGTATTTGGGGGAGGTCCCCTGACCCTCCCCGCAACCACCCCATCCCAAATTATGTTTTCCATATTGTTATGTTCACCGGAGTGCATGGAGTCAGGGAAGTCGGTAGCAAGTGAAATTGTAAACTTGTTTCAATCTGGAATTTCTCGATCTATTTTTAGACCAGTGTGAAGAAAATAAATCCTTATATTCACCCGGAAGGCCACGTGCAGGTGAATATGACGTTGTATTTTTTAACATTGTTGGATTTCAGCCTATCAGAGAGATAAGAATTATTCAATCACATAATAGTATTTCACTGTTCTAACTGTTATGAAATAAGTTATGGCTATTTTTAATTGTACAAATATATTCGTATCAGCAATTGTACATGCAACTGAGTACTACGTATACCTGATCAATACATAGGGCTACCGGCGGGTGTGACGGTCAATAGGGGATGCTTATTTTCCTAGGCACCTATCTCCCCCCTGTTGTTTCCTGGGATCCATGTTTTTGCCCTGTTCACGATTTGTTTTGTTTACTAGATTTCTGAGAATGATCGGTGTTTGTTATCTTCACATTTTACATACAAAGAGCAAGTTTAAAGATTCGCTTTCAGTGAATATCACTTACCTGTCCCATATAAATAAATCCATGTTTTGAAGCTATTCTATCTGCTATATGACTACCCCCTTCTATGTGGACGGCGATTTGATTCATATAGTTACATTTTGAGTGTTGAAACAACAGAATGACAAGCAAACAAAATAAACAGAAGATCCGTGTAATGTCCGGCAAAATCATTGCAGCAATTAAATATATTGGTCAGTTCCAAGTAACACGTCAGTGTTAGTTTATATCGAACCAGGAAGTATTGTAAATAAAAAAATAAGACTGAATTCTATGTGTATTTTATACGGGTATTTTAAAAGTATAACAGAACTGTTAAAAAACCAGTGATCCCAATCGTGACAACTTCTTTAAATAGATGTAACCGGTTTATTCAGATAAAAGCATTTTATGAGGTCTGTCGTAGAGCAACGAAGAACTCTCTTACAAGAAAGTGGTTAGAGCGTCTGCTCTAGAGTCGCGGAGTAATTACGTCGCGGGTTCGAGAAAGTGTGCTGGCACGATAAAGATCCCTCACTGCTCAATGGCCCTGAGTCTCCACCGGCAAGTGGTGGCGTCTCCATATGAGTTAAAAATTCTCGAGAGGGACGTTAAACAACAAACAAGGAATACATATAAGAGCAATACATGGAAAACGAATAATGAAAAAGTTAAAGATTACAAACAGTGATTGATCTCATTATCCTGTATTCAACACAAATTGTAAAATGGGCAAAAACAAAGGGCCTTGGAAACACTTAAGTAAATCAGGTGCCTCAGAGGGGTAAGCTTCCCCTATCGACCAGTCACACATGCCGTGAGTCTTCTGTATTGATCAGGTGAACGGAGTATTCATAATCAAAACTGGTATGAAAAAAACTGATCTACCAATTGGTAGGAACATGTCAGTTAAAATACGACCCAATGTTTGATTGTTTTTGCAAACAAGGTCATTATAGCAGCCATAGAATTAAAAATATGCTGAACTTTAAATAATATTGTTGAAAGCTCTGTTACATCAACTTATTTGTCAGTAGTCCACCTCGTTCTAAAACTTGTTTGTAATCAGAAGTTGCTCTTGCGTTCCAAATAAGTTGGGATACCTAAAGACAATATGCAGGTGATAGTGGAATATTAGTAAAAAAAAAAGTGCCGATGGAAAAGCTGAATTCATCTCGTTTGTCATATAGTTAGTAAACCATTAATGTCTACAGTCAGTAACAAGAGGCCCAAGGGCCTTAACGGTCACCTGAGTATAATAAAACAATTTAGAAGATCCATAGAGTATAAAATAATCTGACAAATGAAGCTTTGTTGTCCAAAAGCAAGAGAAATAGGATGATCAGAATCAATGAAATAATTAGTCTAGTATTCAGTAACAACTCATACATTAAATTCTAATTTATCTCCCATTTAGCACTATCACCATGCAGACTATCAACAAACTAATAGTTCCTCTGTACTACTTTTAACCCCACATTGTGACCTCTCACATTGGCCTCTCTTGGTCTTTGAAAAACATTTAATAAGTTATTTTTGTCTCATTTTTATCTATTTATTATTTACAAGTCTATCTGATCATTAAAACTATGAAAGTACTTTTTGTATTATTCAATAATTTTTTTTTTTTTTTTACATAATTCTCTTATTCTATTAACTTTCAAATACAATATTTACAGTGATTAATTATCAAAAGTAAATGGCCAAGGGAATAACTTCTCTCAGTTGAATACAAATTAATAGAGCCCTGACTTGGACCAGAAAACTTGACCAAATGGTCCTGATGTTAAAAAATCTGGTAAAAATATCCTTGCTTATTAAAACTTTAATTCTATTTGCCTTTGATATGCCAAGGAGCAGAGAAGATTTTCAAAGAAATAATGCATTTTCACTACAGATTCAACACACCCCTACCCTAACACTAAATCCCAAGTCCCAGGGTCATGAAATTCATAAAGTTGGTAGAGGTACCCTCATCATCATAACTATGCACTTAGTTGAAGATTTTCAAAGAATTAACAGATTTTCATTTTATTAACAAATATAGCCCTCCCCCCCTCCACTGAGAAACACCAAAACCTGAAGACCACAAGTTTTAAAATTTTGTAAGAAGCACAATTGTTCATCATAACTATGCACTTTATTTATCTGCTCAACACTAAGGAGCAGAGAGGATTATTTAAAAGGATTAATGCATTTTCACTATATTATCAATAGAGTCCCACCCTTACACCAGAACATCTGACTTAGAGGTCATGATTCATGAAGAAGCACTCTTGTTCATCATAACTACACACTTAGTTTACTTTATAACCAGGAGCAGAAAAGAAGATTTTCAAAGAATTAATGCTTTTTCACTATATAATGAATAGAGCCCCCCTCCTCAACCCTGGGGCCATAAATTTCACAATTTTGAAAAAGGAAGCCTTGTGCATCATTAGTTTGTTTAAATAATATCCAGGAGCAGAGAAGATCTTCAAAGAATTAATGCATTTTCACTATATAATCAATAGCCCCCCCCCCCAACACCAGAACCCCTGACCTAGGGGCCATGAATTTATCAATTTTGGAAAAGGCATCATTGCTTGTCATAACCATGCACTTAGTTTGTTTATATAATATCCAGGAGCAGAGAAGAAGATTTTTAAAGAATCAATGCATTTTCACTATATAATCAATAGAGCCCGCCCTAGCACCATTGCTTATTACAATCATGCCAACAGTTTGACTGCTTGATGTCCAGGAGTAAAGAAGAAGATTTTTAACGATTGCATCAATTTTGGTGGTTTTAGCCCCACCTCTGGGGCCCCACCAAATTCACAATTTGTGTTTCCCTTAACCCAAAGAAGCTATATGCCAAAATTGGTTGAAACTGGTTGAGCGGTTCTAGAGAAGAAGTTGAAAATGTTCAAAAGTTAACGCACGACGGACGACGACGGACAAAAACGGATAGCAATAGGTCACCTGAGTCACTCAGGTGACCTAAAAAACCCAATATGAAAGAGATGTGGCAGACTCTGTGGTGTTTAATTTTTCTAGTTCACTTTACCCCTATACATATGTGTCCATTTACTTACAATTGTAAATGTTACATGTGTGAAAACTTTACTCCTGGTGTGTAAATATAATTCTTTTCAACGAATATATTAATTTTACTCAATGTAAAAGTTAATTTACATCTATTCTGACTAGATGTAAATTTTGCACCAGGAGTAAAAAGACGTGTATTGCTTAGCCCCCGTTCGCATGTCCCCAAATGCATCTGACTGCAAATATGCGTAGATATATGCATCGACATACGAATGAAAATAATTATTGTTAATTGATAAAATGTTGTCGTCGATATATCTACATGATGATTTGACGGCCAGAGTCATTTTTTCTTATGTAGTTATTTTACAAAAATCTTGCTTTGTAAAGATATATTTACATCTACTGAAGTCGCCCGCTTGTGGCAGTGGTTAGAGCGTCTGCTCTAGAGTCGCAGAGTTGATCCTTACGTCGCGGGTTCGAATCCCACTGCGGGACGGGGAGACCGGTCCTTCGGATGAGACCGTACAAAACTGAGGTCCCGTGTCGCAGTAGGTGCTGGCACGAAAAAGATCCCTCACTGCTCAATGGCCCTGAGTGCCGAGTGTAGGTCAAAATTTGTAGCCCTCCACCGGCAAGTGGTGTCGTCTCCATATGAGTGAAAAATTTTCGAGAGGGACGTTAAACAACAAACAGACAAACATCTACTGAATAATTCCTCCTTTATTTTCTTAATGAAAACCTGTTGCTGTTATCAATTCATTTATAATGAATCCAGTTAAAACCAGTTTTTAGAGCTATCTGATTTAAAGGTTTCCCAAGAAACTGGCTCTTCAAAAATTGTGACGTACGGACTAATTATATAAATTATACTTTCAATTCAACTTTATACGAATAATTTATACAGATCATAAGTATAAACAATAAAAAAGCATTTGCTTGCCCGTAAGGGAATTAATGGTTGTTTTTTATCCAATATCGAAACCATTATTCCCAAATTAACAAATAACAGACATTTTATAGTCCGCTATAATAAAGGGGAACAATAATTACACATAGTGATTTCAACAGATTGTTGGAACTGGTCTTCAAATCTAAAGACTTTATTGATGTTGTCATTGAGGAATTCTAGCATGAGTTTTAATTAAAACTTCAGAGTTCTTCTGTGAAGAATCGGAATGATTTTTGGTGCAGTGGATATAGCTCTAAGAGTCGCTGGCATGTAGTCTGTTTTCACCTGCATATGGTGATTGCTTCTCCGTAACGTGAAGACGTCATTTGGGGGGGGGGGGGGTAACCGAGGACTACCTTTCTTCTTAATTTGAGTTCCTTTTAAACGACGCAAAATATTAAGTCATAATTTGGCACATGAAACTTTAAAATAGTTCTTAATTTCGGATTTTTTTTTCTTTTGTTTTGTTTTTGGTTTGTTTTGCTTGTTTGTTTGTTTGGTTTTTTTTTTTTTTTGGTTTTGTTTTGTTTTTGCGCCATTTTACAGAGATATGGCTACAGAATTATTTAGTGCATTGTTTTTAAATTGCAAAATTTTGACCTGCTCCGTGACCCTATTTCCGTCGTTTTAAAATTTTTAATAATTTAAAATATTTGAAATTTTTAATACATTTCATTCGAGTTTATTGTTTACATGTCTATTGAAATTGAATAGAATATGCTGTTAAATAAAATAGTTAACTTTTCGAACAACCCTTGTAAACCCCATATGCAGGTGATAATGGTATAAATAAGGGAAGTTGAAGTCATCACATTAATTATAAAATGTAATTGTTAGATTTCCATTAATGTTCTCTCTAGTAAAACATCCAAATATATGAAAAAGATGTCAGATTCTGTGTTGTCTTTTATTTAGAGGTCAATGGAATGTACTCGTACATATTAATATTTGTATATCGAATCAACGTATGAATGAAAATAAAAATTGTTGATAGAATGTGATCGATATGCTATTAGTATCTAAATGTACGAATTGAAGACCAACAGAAGAAGCTTCTTTTCTTGAAGAAGTTTTTAAATAAATTCTGCTTCAAAATACAAAAAATTTGTCGTACTGCAGCAAAGATACTTATTGAGGAATTGAAAAAAAATTCTTAGTCTTAAGACTTTTTGTGAAAGGACCACTGATCTTCATAGACTACATAGATATTGTCAATGAAGAA